TTTTGTTTGTTTAGTATTTACGTTGTGTGGAGGGTAAAGAGCTAGAAGATGCCTGCACATATAGCACATTGTTCCCCTGCCTTGGGGAACCTGCCTTTTGTAAGAGTGTGCTTCCTATTTGAGCTGTATAGGGAGGTTCTGTTTTGAACTTGTAGGCCTATAATCAGAATTTACCTTTGCTCTGGAAGAAGATACCATATCTATCATCTAAGGATTTGAGTTGTATTAACATATTTGAAAAAATTATTTGGAATGAAAGATAATCCATATATTTAGCATATAGAAGCCAAGAGAGAAAGACATCCCATAATTTACTCAGCCTTCTCTCAACTGGGCAGTATTTTCCAAAGGAGGACAATACTATATATAGGTACCAGGGGACATTTTAAGGAAAAGTGCTGCTTAAGCCATGTCATGAAGAATGCCTTGAATGGTACAGGACAAGAGTAAGTTAAACCATTACAAAGACTTTTAAGTGTTTCCTCATATTGTAGTGCCCCCTTCCCCCATTATACTAGAGCCAGAACACTGAAAGATGGGAAAAGATTTTTAGCATCAGAGGGAATCAGAGGTTAACAGAGGTACTCCTCCATGAGAAATATACATTTTTTAATATAACAATTCCAGTCAATGTGATCGTTTTGTTCACTTTTAAAAATTTATTGTTTTCAATAATTAAGTCAACATACAAAGTACTGTGATTATTCTGACACTTTCACACGTGTTATACTTTTTGTTTCCCTCCCTTGCTGCCCTCCCCAATTCCTTGCTGCTCCCCACCACTCACTAACAGCCCACCCCTTTTTTATATCACATGTATTCCATTGCTCTATCTTTCCCTCCCCCTCCCACCTTTTAAACATCTACTTCTCCCATTTCATGGGCCCTTTTCTAGTTTTAACACCTAACCCCGCCCACCCAGATAAACACATACAGGAGAAAACATGCAGTTTTGTCTTTCTTAAACTGGCTTATTTCACTCAACATAATGATTTAGTTTTATCAGCTTTTCCCTCCTACAAAGGCCATAATTTTACCTTTTCTCTTGGCTGAATAAAGTCTTATAATATATATAATTACATTTTTATCCTTTCATATATTTATGAACATCTAAGCTGGTTCTGTTTCCTCTCTCTTGTAAATAATACATTCATAAATACAAATGTAGAAGTATCCTTGTAATAGGAGTTAGGGTCCTCTGAATATACAGCCAGGAGAGGTATAGTTGGGTCATATGGTAGTTCCATAATTGAGGTTTTGAAAAACCTTTCTATTAATTTCCATGAGGGCTTTATGAGTTTATATTCATATCAGCAGTGTCTGAGGGTTCCTCTTTTCTCACATTTTTGCCAGAATTTGTTAGCATTTGTTATCCTGATGAGAGCAATTCTGACTGGGTGAAATGAAATCTCAAAGCAGTTTTAATTTATATTTTCCTGCTGGGTAAGAATGTTGAATACATTAAAAATATTTCCTGGATAGTTCTGTTTATTAACTTTCATACTATTTATGAGTCTGATGATTTTTTGGCATTTCATTTTTTAATTGCTTTATAGGTCCCAGATATTCATATGTAAGCACAAAGGACCTTGAATACCTAAAATGATTCTAAGCAGAGAGACATTGATGAAATATCTAATATTAAATTATATAATGAAGTGATAATAACCAAAACCGTGTGGTACTGGCACAAAGACAAGCATGTAGAGTGATGGAATATTTAGTAGATGACTTAGAAATAAGCCCACACAGTGACAGCCACCTAATTTTTGACAAAAGTAACAAAACATGCATTGAAAAAGACACCCACTTCAACAACAGATTCTGGGAAAACTGAATATCCGCATGTAGAACAATGAAACTGGATTTCCACTCCTCATCCTGCACTCACAGAAATCAAAATAAAAAACAGACCTTAATATAGAACTTGAAAAATTGAAACTGCAGGATGGAAATATACAAAAATACTCTTTAAGATACTGGCAGGGCAAAAGCAAAGGCAAAGACTTTTTGCAAAGGACTCCAGCAGCAGAGAAAATAATCTCAAGAATTAATAAATAGGATTAATAAATATTAATTTCAAAAGTTCATACAGCAAAGAAAACAATTGCCATGGCAAATAGCCTTGTGCAGAAAAAGAAAACTTTGTCAGCTCTGTCAGAGTTTAGTTATTTATTTTTTTACACATTAAAATGAACTATTGCAGAAAATATGAGACAATTATATGATGCAAATCATTAACAGTACCACCTAAATTTTATTATGTTTGCTTTGTTATATATCTGCTCATCTCTAAATTTTTATCAGTGTCTTCTTATATTTTAAAGTAAGTTGCAGACTTCAATATGCTTCACTCCTAAACACTTCAGAAATGTAGTTAAGGTTTCTTTTAGGCAGTGGTTCTTCACTTTCCTAACACTGTGCCCCTTTGTCACAGTTCCTCGTGTTGTAGTAACCCCTAACCATAACATTACTTCATTGCTACTTCATAACTACAATTTTGCTACTGTTATGAATCATAATGTGACTGAGGAGGCATGACCTACAGGTTAAGAACCACTAGTCATGACCTACAGGTTAAGAACCACTACTCTAGGCAAACTACATGCATTGGGAGCATACACACGATTGCCTGAATTCTGGAGAAGGCATGTACTTCAAATTCTATGACAATCTAGCACACTAGTTTCATCCTGAAAGCCACCTATAGCCTTTTTGCATGGAGTCAAGCTTCTATCTCCCCAAAAATTGCTCTAATGCGCTCTTAAAGCACAGGATAGCCCCACACAGTCACATCATGCAGTGTGTCATATTTCGTGCAAAATTTTCTTTTACCCTGAAGAATGTTTGTGAGAGACGTATACACAGTATTTTAATCAGGAGTGGATTACTTTTGATTTTTGAGTGGTGCAGCATTCTATGGATACTATTTGCTAATGGACACCTATGCTGGTCCTAGTGTTTGAAGAGAGCTGCTGTGTACATCTAGTTTTGTTCTATGTACACTTAAAAAAATGGGTCTCCATGATTCGAACAACGAAAGCTCAATATTTTAAAATGTCTTTATTTTATCTTACATTCTTAAGGCCATAACTTACTTGGTACATTCCTACTACATCCGGATGTTTGTTCATTTGCCCTGACTTCACTCCACAACCAAAAGAAAGCTGCAATTAAGTTTTTGTAGGTGTTAAAATTTTGTTTATCTTATAGTCATTTATAATAGATTTTTTTTGGGTTTGGGGGAATGTGTTTACTTTATTACTGTTTTTAATCTTAGACATTGTGGAGACGCATCCTGCACATGTACACAGTCATTCAGCGTCACAAGAAGAAGTGTAGCATCTCGTAGCACATAGGTAAAGGCATGGAATAGAGAGGTGTAGTAGGATGGTGAGGAAAGACTTCAGGAGCTTGTGTAGATTCTTAAGTCCTGTGTGGCATCCTGATTTGTCTAATAGGCGCTAGGGTTAAGAAATCAACATTCCCCAAATTCCAGTCCTGTTTTGCTTCTATAATGTGGTGTCTCAATGCGTTTCCTTTGGAGGCAGAGTCTCACTATGTTGCCCTTGATCCTTCTCCTGCCTGAGCCTCGCTAGTATTGGGCTTCAGCCATATAGGCGTTCATCACCATACTCCACTCCCAGTTCATCTTCGTAACTGCACATCAACAACCTGGCTGACATAATAGACTGGTCTTGAGTCTGGTTTGGAAATTTAGAGAGGATGATGTCTACATCCTACCACCAGGAAGCCTCACTCCATTAGTGGGTCTTCCTGTCAGCTAGTCAATGTCTACTCTCTGTCATCTTCTATTACACGTAAACTTTCAGCACACTTTTGTTTTCACCTGGAGCTGATAACTGATTTCCACAATTCCCTTTCTCTCTCCCTCTCTCCTTTTCTTCCCTGTTCCTCTTACTGTCCTTCCTCCTTCCCTTGGTTTTTCCCTTTTAAACTGAGGGAAGAATTCTAGGGCTCCTCATACGCTAGGTGAGTGCTTAATCACCAAGCTACACCATATCAACTCGTATTTTCTACTGTTAATTAATTAATTAATTCTACGTGTCATAGTATGTGTGTGCAAGTCAAAAGACTAATTGTGGAATTCCTTTACACCCTTCCATTATAAGGTTTCTGGAAAGTGAACACAGGCTATTGGCTTGGTGCCAAATCATTTTTCCCCTGGTTGGCCTTCTCGCCTAACCCTAAACTAACCCTAACCTAACCCTAACCTAACCCTAACCTAACCCTAACCTAACCCTAACCTAACCCTAACCTAACCCTAACCTAACCCTAACCTAACCCTAACCTAACCCTAACTCTTTCTTTTTAAATCTTTCTATTTCTTAAGGCTTTAAAATCTTTTTCTGTATCTAATGAATAAAAAACATTCATAGATATTCAGCCTCCTATTTCTGTTTTGCCACATTAAAGACTCCTCTTTGGGTGTATTATATAAGCCAGTTTGAATTAAACATTTGATCTATTACCTTATATGACTCCTTTAATATTTTTAGTAGACATATACCCCAAACAATCCCCTAAAACATATAAATTGACATAACTCATTTAGGCTCTTACTTTTCTTACTATCCAGCTTATGTGATCAGATATGAATGTCTGCCTGTTCTGTTTTGCCTACAATTAGTATGTCAAGGCCACCGATCCAAGGTCGGGTGTTTCCTCAAGGAGAGTCTCCTTGATTTCTTTCTTCAAAAAAAAAAAAAAATCACAGCTACATCTTCTGATATCTGTTCAGTCTTGTGTTTGTTTCTATTTTGAAGTTGTCTGTCTTATCACTTGGGCATCAAAATTATCCTTCAGGGCACATATGCTGTTTGTTGTATTTTCCACCTTACTTTACATGTAAAATCCTAATTGTAAGTGGCAGGCTCATAGGTTAAAGTAGTTTGGGGAACTTCTGTTTTGGCAAGTTAAATCCTAAAATGTTGTTGACATTTCAGTGAGCTGATTTTATTTTATGTTTTTCCCCTTAGGAAAAAGATGACCACTTTGAGTCTGTTCAGCTGAAATCCTCAAGATGCCCCAATATATGAAGAGATAATGCTGTAGCTTTCAGGACCCCCATTAGGACTTGTCCTCACACAAGACATGGCTGTGATCTCACAGAGGAGGTGTGCCAACGGCAGGAGGAGGCAAAAATGCTGATTGCCTTATAACACGTCACATACTTTGTCAAACTGCAGAAGACAGATGATGTGGGTCTCACTGAAGATGAAGCTTAACTCAGGAAGAGATTTAGCTGTATATACACATAACTGAAACCCAAGTTTAAGTCCACCAATGCACTGCTGATGCATGCCATATGATTACTGGGTAACTTTAATTCTTTATACTGTCTACATACAAAATATGTGTTGGAAGGCAGACATAAGCATATGCCTTGTGTTTCCATATGTAAGCATATGTCTTGTTCTTGTACTTTGGGGAAGATTTGGAAAAAAAAAGTTATAATTATTTTTCCCTTTATTTCTCCAAGACTTGAAAACACCTTTTTTATTAAAATGAGGAACAATTAAATATAATAAATTTTCATAGGTATTTTCTCTTGACTTCAGAAGTCTAGGATATCAGTAATATTTCGTGAAGTTATTTATTTGTGTTATCTGAGGTGATAATCACTTTTAAAAATTCTTTCCTTGTTGGAACTAGTATGAAAAATTTTACTAATTGTTTGAAGGAATCTCATGGGATGGGGTTGGAGGTGATGAAAGCCAGGAAGAAACCTCAACATTCCATTAATGTAAACAATCTGGCATTATCAGAAGTCAAAGGCTTAAAGCATTTGAGTGTCGTTAAAGAATAAAGACTGTGGAGCACCTTGTTTAGCAGACCCCTGCACTGTCATGAGAAAGGAGGGAGACAGCTTGACCCTAAGAACAGAAAACTCTGCTTGTTCCAGAGCCGAAGGTCATTACAAGTATGATCTGGGCTTTCCCTCCACATCAGACACCCAGAGCGCTGGAGGTTTTTATTTTTTCTTTACTATAGAAGACTTGGAGGATTATGAATTTCTTGAAGATTTTATTTTTAAGCTAATAAGGAAGAAATTCAATTTTTGAAATGCATATACTTGTATTCACAGTAAAAATCTTCTTAGCAACGTATTGTTCCTGCTTGAAAGCAACCCCGAAACTCGTGACATTTCTCATAATGGCTTATGAGTTTCAGTGTGACTTGAAGTTTCTTTTTGAAAGAAGTTTACAGGTAAATGGATCAAGTTTGCGTAAACTTTTATACCTGGGAATTAGAGTATCTTACCCATTATTGATATTAGATGTTCTGGTTTGTTTCCAATAAACCAATAATCTTTACAGATCTTAATCCAGATATTTAAAAAGATTTTTGATTGGCTGAAGGAGGCAAAGCATATGGGTAAGGTTTTCACCACATGTTTTGCCTGATATGTTTCAGTGCTTGTAATATTTGATTTTGTGGGTGGTGTAGTCTTTTATTTTTGTGAAAAATGGGAGAAAATGAATAATTGTGCTTATTGGCCAGTGGATAAACCACTAGACCTTTTTGCTACCACTAAAAGAATGGTTGTATGTGTGTGTGTGTGTGTGTGTATCTACTACTAAATATAAAAATAGGTAATGTTGTATTACTGTTTGTCATAAGACTTGAGAGAATGTTACTTAGCATAATTTTTGCCTTTAATTTCTTGGATATTCTAAATTATTTTGGGTTTGCTCATTTTTGTTCCAATATCAGAATATTGGCATGCTTTTCCCTGTCATAGTCAAAATTTAACCAGAGGAGTGGAACTACACTTGAAATACCACTCAGAGGAACTGGTGAAAACATACAGACTGGACAGAGTCAGAAAACTGCTTCTGTCACCTGTCACTCCTCTTCACCCTCTGTTGTGCTCAACATGTGTGTTCCAAGCCATAGAGATAATTGGGATTTCTTCCCAGGTACTTCTTTTTTCTCTTGTCACTGGACTAAAATCTCTGACATGTCAAAAATGCCTTAAATTTTAATGAACTCTCTGAAAATGCAGTTGATATTGAAGAAGTTATTTCATTTTATTTCTAATTTTAGATATTAAATAGATTTTTTTTTGTCAGCTCAGTCCCATCTTTGTATTCCCATGCCTTGTCATTTTATTCGAAGAGCTGAAGAACTATGACAGAATATTATGAGGAGAATATGCAGACCAATTTAGCTATAAAATTCTGTTTAGTTTTATGTATGGCCTTTGACAAGCCCAGTGAAATGTTGAGAGCTATAATCAAGTTATTCTGCTTCAACAACTTATTGACATTTACTCTCCCCATCACTACCAGTGATAGAAAAATACATTATTTATTATTTTTTTCTAAAAGGCATACTTTGGAGCCTTAAATACTTCATTAAGTCAACTATTCTGTATAACATCTGTTGGCACTGTGTCAAAACCTATTTAAGTCAATTTTCTACTGGATGAGAACATGTCTTCTATGGATAAGTTATATCATGCTATTTAACAATGTTGAGCAATTTGGTATCTATTCACTTGATTTAAAATACTGAATTTTATTATCAACCTTTCCCCTCTTTGGTTACTAATAATCATATCCTTCTTAGGATTAAACATATTTCATAGTACTTTTGTGTAGACTTTTGTCATTATTTTTCTCTCCTAAAATGATGGTTTAAGTTAGCATGGTAGAAGAATTACTTGAGACCAGTTATTCACCATCTAGGTTCTCAGGTGCTGAGAAAGAGTGGGTTTGGTTCTTTAAGTCCCATCTGGCCAAGTGCCATTTGATGTCTTTTGGTAACAGTGTTTCCCATGGCTCATGGTCATTCCTAATGGGAGGCTAATGTGTTTCTCTTTTCCTCATAAAACCTAGTTGCTTGGTTAGTGTACAATGTGCTGGTAGTGTTTGTATTCCCATACTGATAGATAGATGTCTTCTGAGGATGAGATGCTGACATACAAAATAGCTTCTTAAGATGTGGTACTAGAGAAGCTCCCCCGTTCATAGCAGCTGTTCATGTAGGGTGTACCTCAGTGCTCACCCATTTCCCAGGTCCAGTTTCAATATGAAACTGCAAATAGCATTTAGTTTTCCTTTAATGATTATTGCTTCAGCAAACACCTCCAATTTCTTTGAACAAAATGTCAGTTAAGACCTTGGTTAGCTGGATTTTTCTTCATTGTAATAACTCCTGGAGAGAGGCTTCTATTTAAAATACCTTATGAATTTTGGTGAATGATTGGGCAATATTTCCTTCATGTCAGATAACTGATTTTACAATTCTATTGATCGATTTCCAAAGAAAAAGAGGAAACCAATAAGAATTATGTAAATCCAAGCCTGCTGTTGCAGGGAAGGATGGTCAATGGCTTCACCTATGGGTGTGTGCCTTTGTCTCAAGGCTCTAGTTCAGACCTCTCGTCGTAGCTTTTCACATTTTCCCACACAGACAGGCTACTGGATTTAAAATCCTCACAATGGGGAAGTGGATGACACAGGTACTAGCTGAGAGAACATGTGCACCCAAAGCCTGTAAAGACAGAGATTACCTTTCTTAGTCCTTCCTTACATCTTTCCTCTGTGTTGTCCAGAAGCTGGCTTGCCTCACGGTGTAAAATTAGGGCCAGCTTTCCTTCACCGTGCTAAATGTGGGTGGGCAGGAAAATCTATGAATATTTAAGCTAGAAAAGATGCAGAGTAGAGTAACTATTCAGAAACACAAGGCAAACAGTTAGCTTACTTCTAAAAAGTTTCTTTTATGAATAGGATCTATTATTTAGCTTAGGAATTCTTAAATTTAGGGAAGTTTTGGAGAGATGAATCAATCAGCCTTACATTCTGGAAGGATAAAATGTTGTTACTAATGTGGGGGGAAATAATGTGTCCTATAGCAGGGATGGAGAAAATGACAAGAGCTTCCTGTTATTGCATTTTTGGTGTACTGACAGGGCATAAAATACAGTGAGTATAAAAACCCCAGCCCTCCAAACTACAGTTTTTTTCATGATTTAGACACGACCTGATTGTCTTGCTTTAAGATCCATGATCAGCTTGACTGTGAGCGGCATCAGCTGTACTTCTGAACAGCCCGTCCGATACTGCCATCCTCAGACTGTCACATTCCATTAGGGGACAGAGTTTATTTTCTCTCTCCTCAGCTTGCTGAGCCACTGTCCCGAGCAGATGCTCATTCAGAGCCTGCTTATCGGGCACTCTTGCCAACTGCAGTAAGAGTGGAATTTGTTGTGCTGTTTACTGTCTTTGAATTCTTTACTCAACCTACCCTAGCTCACTCCCCAAATTTCAGGTACTTACTTGAGTATGAGAATCCAAGGATCGCTCAGCACCACTGTTTTCTGCACCTGGCTGGCTAGAGCTGGATTCCTTAGGTTACTCTCATTCAAATGCTTGCAGAGGAAGAGCAAATCTATCTTCCTATTTCCTTTGAGGCCAGTCTCCTTGGCCCTTATGCCCCTTTTCATTCTTTTTAGATTACTAAAAATAGTGTCATTATGGCTTACTAACTTCAAATACTCTCTCTTTCTCATGTGTTTAATTCTTTACTTCACTCCTTTCTCAGTCATTCTTGACTGGGTTTCAAGTGTTTCTCTCGCGCATGCAAAGCAAATTGATTTATATCCACATCTCTAGTTTGTGCTTTTCAAATGCAGGAACTAGATGGACTTCATCTCATTTGTCTTTCTGTTGTGGGCTACATAGTGGCCTCTCAAAAATATGTCCACATCCTAGTCCCTGAACCCTGAGAACACTATTTTATTTTAAAATCAAATCAAAACAAAGCAAACACCAAAAGAAAACAACAATAACAAACTTCAAACAAATGGCCTATTAAGAATGTCAAGGTGATAAGCATCCTGGGGTATCTAGGTCACTCTATACCTAATAACACATGACATTTTAAGAGACAAAAGACAAGACAGACAGAGCAGTGAATATGATATGAAGATTGAACAAAGTTTGAAATGATGTGGCCACAGGCCAAGGAACTGTAACTACCAGGTACTAGAAAAGGGATGGGATGGGATGGGATGGGATGGGATGGGATGGGATGGGATGGGTGATTTCTTTGAATCTATAAAACAGCCTGGTCCTTCTGACTCTTGTGTTGTGACAGAATAATTTTTTGTTGTTTTAAGTCACATACATTCTAACATTTCCCCCCATCATCATAGGAAACAAATATACTCTCTGTCCTAGTATGTGACATAGGTTTTACAGATAGATGTGTTCTCAATGTTTAACCTGACATTGGTAAATTATTTGTGACTAAAAGTTTGATAGAAACAGGGTAGTATTTAGTAAGATTCTTACCAATACTATTCATGCCTTATTTTGGGTTAATAAAATATTTAAATTTAGTGACAAGTCGGTGTGCTGGAACATCATTCCTAGGACTTGGGAAAGCTGTGGGAAGATTGCCAAGGTTTCTACTTCCCCATTCATCTATGAAGGGCAAAAGCAATTTTCCAGTGGGATTATTACATACTTTTCAGTTTCTTTTCATCATTATGGTTGTTTTGAACATCAGAGCCATCAAATCTTTTCTGGCAGGTCATAACTCTATTGGGGATATAGGGAAGCCTTTGCCTTAGTTGGCAGTTCTGGGTTGTCATATAGACCTAGCTTGTAAAAGATAATCTGTATATATTATCATGAGCTGGTCTTAAATTTATGGTGTTACCCCTTACCAATGTCTCATCCTTACGATTTATAGAAAAGTGGAATTCCACTAACAACCCTCTGTCAGGGCTCAAATCTGATTCAAAATATGTGTGTGAAGAAAAAGCGCAGTTAGACAATTATTTCCAGCATTAACAAGAGAAGGGGACTTGGTATCTACATATCATATTACCTTGAGTGATCCAAAAGGACCGTTATCCTCCATGCTTGAAAACCTTGAAGGTTTTATTCTGATTATCTTTACATTAATACAGATGCTTTTTATTTTGTACTGAGAAGAACGTTCTGTTACACTTAATGTAACTTTAATATACAACGTAGAAACTCACCCTAAATTAGTTACAACAAGAACCTACAAAAGACTTCATAGGAAAAAGGTTACCTAATATTGCCACTGTATTTTTTTGTTTTTTTTTTTTGTTTGTTTTTTGTTTTAGTAGACTGACCCTGTCAGACCCTGTCACCAATGCTCAGCTCTGTAAACAATGGTTATTTCCATGTCCTGGGGGAGGGGCTGTTAATAGGGGCACTAAAATCAGCCTAGAAAGTTGTAGCACATCACTGTATACCATACAGTCCTCAAAAATAATTTATTGTACTGTTTCTAAAAAAAAAAAAACAAAAGGTCCTAGGGTTGTTGTCTTTGTTCTGTTTCCATGTTCTGGAGCAGCATGTGAGCACTTTGTCTAACAGCCTAAACATGAGAACTGAACAGAGTATCACAATCACAGAGATGAGGTGGTGGAGTCCAGGACTTCCCTTCCGTTGCACACTGTCGGGACATATGTGCTTGCAGAGGCTGCAAAACAAAGTGGGACACAAGACTTAGTCAAGCAGGACACGTAGTTAATGTCATAAATATTCCCAGACACTGGGTTAAGTTTAGGTTAAAACCCCATTTTAACATGGCTTTGGAAAAAGCTTATTGATTTATGCTATAATAGGTACACTCTGCAAATATTTCTTTTCCTTAGTTTGTATCCAGGACAGGCTTCTATTCATGCCATGCCTCTTGGAAAGAGGATTTATTTATAAGCATCATCTTTGCTGAAAGAAGTCTCTCATGGGTTAAAAATTAGACTTAATAATCTATAAAGTGGTAAAATAATACACTGAATAAAGTGAATGGCCCCTATAATCTTCTTACAGATGATTAAGTTATTTCCTGGATCAGTAACTATAACTAGTTTTGTTCTTTGATCAGGGGTGAATGGCCCCAGGAGTCCTGTCTGAACTCCACTACCTCAAGAAACAGGTCTGACTTTACTTTGTGTGTTACATGCTCTCTGTGAGGATGCTGGCAATTGCAAATGCTGAGAGCTTTGGCTTCCTAACAACCCATGAAATGAAGACATTCTACAGAGAAGGTGCTTTGATATGACAATGATGGCCACACTGTCATGGTGCCTGGGGAAAACAGTGTATGTTCACTCTTTTTATAACATGCAGTGTTCTCAGATATATTTGTATCTATTATCAGGTTGTTACTAAGGTTTTTATTGATGTTTATTCACGTAATATATTTGTTTTGGCTCTAATGTCTTTTCATTGAATGAGGACATGAACAGGAGCCTCAGTCTTTATTGGGATAAAACCATATAGTCATGAGAACAGATTAAGGTGTACTTATATCATCCTTAATGTCTCTCCATCTATACTAGCATATATCCTCAGGACTGGAACTGGGTCACCAGAACAAGCCTGGCTATAATGAAAGTATCTGCCTATTCCTTAAAGACATATGAGTTAATTTCCTGAAGTATTCCTGTCTGATAGTAGGTATGTTCCCATACATTGCTTTTTACATAACAATTTCTGTAGACAGAAAGGAGTAACTAACAGTGAGATTAGAGCTTACGCAGCATCCTAAGGGGGCAGCCACTGGACTGAGGACACTGCCATCTTGTAGCAGGTCCACAAGTAGCCAAGATGAAGTTTTTCAACTCAGTAATTTGAGTAGGCATATGAAACCATATTTGAGGTCTATGAACTGAAGTGCCTGGAGTCTGGTGATAAGCTAATCTTTGGTAGAATTAGTAAAAGATAGTTCAGTAAAAGAAGATGTGAGTGAAATTCAAAACACAGCTCACTGGAAGCAGAGGAAGTGCTCTGAGCCACTCATTGTGTGAGCTTTCTGAGAACCCTGTATCCAGCTGTCTGCTTAACATCTTCATGTAGATGTTTAATAGTCACTTCAAAATTGGTGTCCAAAGAACTCTTGATTTTTGTGTAGCCTTTCCTCAGTTAGCATACCTTTCCTCAGTAAAATGCTCTTCCTTCTAACCTAAACCAGAAGTCTAAAATTCAAAATTCACTCTGGATTTCTTTTCCCTTTTTTTCTCTGTCCCATGGCAGCCTATATCATCAGGTCCTATTAGCTATAACTTCATACTCAACTACTGCCACCTCTGCATTCCCACACTGGGCAAGCTTTATTCATTAATTGTCTGTGTCCATTTCTCCTGGTCATGTTTTCTACATGGCAACAAGACTACTGTCAGCTCTCTATACCTGTGGTTCCATATCCACAGACTCAACCAACCATAGACTGAGAATATTCAAGGGAAAACAGACATCTGAGCATGTTTAGAATTTTTCTTGCTTTTCCCCAATAACACAATGTAATGCCTGTTTATACAATATTTACACTGTAAATGGCTGTGAAAAGAAATCTAGAGGTGATGTGAAGTTCACTGGAGATGTGCATAGGTTATATGAAAATATGCTACTTTGTAAAAGGGCCATGTGCATCTGCAGGTTATTTATGATGTGTGTGTTCTGAAGCGAATTTCCTAGATACTGAGGCACAGCTGTGTTTTAAAACTTACATAGACACTGCCAGTGGCCTCTGCTAGTGCTTTAACTTGAGTTTAGAAATTCCAAATAATTGGACTGTGCCTATCTTTCTGGATATTTTTTACATATTACACACAGTTTTTTCTCCCCTCTATGCTTTGTTCTCCAAATAGTAATTATGTTTAACAAAACTTCTACCTTTGCCATAGCTATGAATTCTACCAGGAACATTCTCTCTGATCATCTATGTGGCCCCTTTGTGGCACCTACACTTCGAATATGATCTCCTTAAAAAGATCATCATCAGTCAACTCAATCTAAAGTAGCTCTCTGTCACATCACCTAGTTTTAAAACTCTGTACTCCAAGGATGTCTCCATGGAAGTCCACAGAGTATGTCTCGGCTCCATAGGGGTATTAATGGAAACACCCTCTGTCAGAATGCTTTAAACTCTGAGGAAGAAAATACAAATTCAAGATCTCCTCACAAAATAACAACAGCTAAAATTCTCTTAACACTCTTTCTGAAGGAAATTTCCTCCAGACTCTGTTTAGTGTGTTCAATGGATCTCCACTTTGTATCCTTCTGCTTTTCTTTTACAGTTTCTCTGCAGCTTTGGCCATTCCATTTTATTTTGTAAAAAAAAAGAAAAAAATCTCACTTTTTGCATATGCTGCTGAGTATATTAAGAGAATTTATTGTTTATGAGTTTACCATCTCAATTACTTTGCATTTCATAAATATTTTACATGTGCTTCCCATATTAGCCCATCTGTTATTTCCCAGGGTAGTAAAATAAGTGGGAAAGCAAAATGCTATCAGTGTGTGTGTATGTGTGTGTGTGTGTTCTTGTAATGAACCTTGCTATTGTTCTGATGAACTCATGAGGTTTTTAATGGTGTAAATTCAGCCCATTTTCTTAAGTGTGGCTAAGCAGATTTCTGCAAGAAACAATACGCATGCAGGCTTTGTGTAGGTTTTCTGCAGACTTGGGTTGAATGGCAGGTGTTGGCAGCTCTAGGCTACAGTGGTACTTTTTGCCACGCAACGGGAACAGTGAAAATAACTGGAAGAGACCTTGTGTGTTCCTTGATCACAAATGGACAATTTACACTCATCCCAAGACACATTTTACTGCACAGACATCATGTGGCATTGACCAGAGAAGCCATGTGGCAGCTTTGTTTCCTGACATGAAATCCACTGTCCTCCTACTTGTCATTCATAGGCTGGTCAGGCCTGGGAGAAAATGATGGCTCTTTCATGTAACTGGGCTGCTGATCAGTGCTAACCATATTTATTGAATAGATTATTCTGGATGCAAAGCCTGTTAGTTAACTGACTAGGAAACTGGCTTTGGAGAATCAAAGTCTTAACTAACTCTTTAACGTATCATATTTGGGAGGAAATAAACATCTCAGCAGAACAGACATCTCTGTTTGCTCCCGTCCACTCAGGGTTTCTGTTTCTAGTGACATCAAAGAAGTTTTTCCGGATATCTGCTTGTTTATATATTTATTAAATAGTTATAGAATCCAGTATCTATTGGTTGTATGCCATTCTGTCCTCCTTCTTTGTCCTTAAATCTTTTTTCTTACTCACCCTTTCAATTTTACTCATGTCCTGTCAGAAGTTCATTAGGTGATCAAGATGTGCTGGTAGGCCAAAGTGTTGCAGCCTTGCTGTTGTGGACGTTTCAGGGGTGAGGCCAAGTGTTCATCGTTAAGACATTGGGGGAAATTCTAGACTGAATTCTCAGGAAGTACTTACTTTTGCTGATTCAAATAGTGATCTCAAACTATTAATATCAAGTAGGGAGAAAATTAAACATACAAATGGGATTTTTAATTCTACAAAAGCTAAGACTTCTTCATTCTGAGAGATAAGTCATGAAAAGAAAAGATATGTCTCGTTCACTTTTTGTTACTTGTGATGCAATTTAATTCCATATAAGCTGAGATTTCACTGGTCTTTAAATAACCTACCTCACTCCATTGTCACCTCATGATACAGTTTAGTCATATCCTTTCACGGTTACCCCCTCCAGAAGTACGGAAGTGGATATCTAAGTAATCATCTGGTAAATGAAAAGGCTCCTTAACTCTGTACTTCTATTTATTTATTTATTTATTTATTTATTTATTTATTTATTTATTATTCTTATCCACTTTTGAGTTACCCAGCACTGTTTACTGTCTCCTTCCTTCCTTCCTTCCTTCCTTCCTTCCTTCCTTCCTTCCTTCC